AAAATAAAGGTGCTTCACGATGCCATAGAAGAACCTTTTTGTCTAAATGGGTCCATAAAGAACCTTTAACATCTGAAGAACCTTTCTGTTTCACAAAAGGTTCTTTGTGGCAAAAGAAGGTTCTTTAGATTATAAAAAGGTAAGAAAGAGATGGTTCTTTAAAGAACCTATGACTGACTGGTTCTTTGTGGAACCAAAAGTGGTTCTTCTATGGCATCGCTGTGAAGAACCATTTAAGCACCTTTCTTTTTAAGAGTGAAGGAGCCACTGAAAACTGCATCTACAAGCATCGCTGAGAATTTAAGAATGAAATCAAATACTGTATAAAAAATTTTAAATATGAATTTTGAATTTATTTCTATATTTTCAGATGCTGGATCTAATGATGTGACATATGCTCAGGTTAAATAAATGCCCGGAGGAGAAATTTTCAATCCCAGGATACTGATGAGTTTAGATTGAGAAGGGCTGGAGAATGACCAGGATCATCAATGCTTTATCATCTTTGTGATACTGAGCACTTGATGGTTATCAGTACTTAATATTGTGATGCAAGCATCGATGTGCTTCAGTGACTACGCATGCTAATCTTTGAAAAGCAATGAGCTGATTATACATAAAAAAATAAATTAATGGAGCAGTCGTGGCCTAATGGTTAGAGAGTTGGACTTGTAACCCGAAGGTTGTGGGTTCGAGTCTCAGGTCTGGCAGGGATTGTAGGTGGGGGGAGTGAATAATCGGTGCTCTCTTCCACCCTCAATACCACGACTGAGGTGAGACCACTGAACCCCCAGCTGCTTCCTGGACGCCACAGCACATGGCTGTCCACTGCTCCGGGTGTGTGTGTGCGTGCACTTGGATGGGTTAAATGCAGAGCACAAATTCCGAGTATGGGTCGCCACATGTCACTCACTTTTTTTTTTTAAATACAGAGAGAGAGAGAGAGAGAATTTAGCTTACGCAGCAAATCAGCTTATTAGAATGATTTTTGAAGGAACAGAAAGGTAATGCCAAAATTCAGCTTTGCCATCACAGGACATTAAAATAGAGAACAGGTATTGTAAATTGTATTAATAGCTCACAATAATACTGATTTTACTGTATTTTTGATCAGATTTTACTGATCAAATTATAAAAATTTACTATATGATACATTTTACTGTTATTTTACTTAAATATTCTTCTATTTATTTTTTCATGAAGATAAATAATATTGAACATTCCGAATATTCTTAATTATGTATTATTATAATAATTTGAAAATGCATCCTTTCATTCCAGACAAATTTAGGGTAGAGTGGAGGAAAACGACCCCCTACTGTTTTTCCTAAAATAACCACTACTGTAGATAAAGTCAAGATACATTTTTGTTGTAACTATGGACTACATTGACAAGTATTCACCATGAAGCTTACACTGGTGATGAACCTGAGAGAAAACAGATTTCACAGTAAGTGATCCAATTTTCAGCAGTAAGAAAAAAAAGTGTTTTAAAGCTTGTTGTTTTGTAGAACATCACAGTATGTATGTGAAGTTAAAGTGACCAAGTATGGTGACCCATACTCGGAATTTAACCCATCCAAGTGCACACACACAGTAGTGAACACACACCCGGAGCAGTGGGTAGCCATATTGCTGCGGCACCCGGGAAGCAGTTGGGGGTTCGGTGCTTTGCTCAAGGGTCTCACCTCAGTCGTGGTATTGAGGGTGGAAGAGAGCGCTGGTTATTCACTCCCCCCACCAACAATTCCCATCCAAACCTGAGACTCGAACCTGCAGGTTACAAGTCTGACTGACTCTCTAACCATTAGGCCACAACTGCCCCTGATGGTATGAGAATAGTAAGGCCTGTAGATAGGGAGTACGTTATTTAAGAAAAATATAATTATATTTTCAGAATGACAAAACATATTTTTCAAACATATTTACTGTGGGGTAAAATGGCTTAATTACTGTAGTTACTCTTTTCTGAACATCAAATCCTTTGTTTTTCCATCAAATGTATTCTAGTTGGTTGAATAAAAATATTTGGACTTCATATTTAAAAATTACCAAGTTCAAGTTAGCATCAGGTAGTTAGCTAGCCAGTTAGCATCAGCTAACATTATTTTTCAAATAGGTTATAATTTTGTAATTCATGATTATTGATTATATTCTTTTTAGTGTGAACTATTATTTACACAATAAACCCGTCCTTTTACTTAAGTACCAGATATGGGTGTCATGCCATAAAATATTTAGGACTGACTTTGTATTTAACATGAATTTAATAAAAACATTCTAAGTTACTAATTATAACACTTTCATTGTAGGCTACAGAAAGAGAGCAAACAACATTTACATTATCAAAGAACATTATCATTGACTTAAGTCTTGCCAGAGTTCAAGCATTCTCAAAAACTCCCATTATAATCACTGAAGCAGTTTACAATGTGAAATTAATCTCTTACTTACAGTCGTACGCACATCTGTACTTTGTTGTTCTGATGAGAGAATTCCCCAGAGAGCAGAATACAGACAGGAGTGCGAGCACTGAACAAAACACCTTTTCAACGATGACTCATCTGAACGCCTCTGATTGGCCATTGCATTCATAAGCTCAATAGAATCGTGTGTGATTGGTTATAATGCGCAGCGCTGTAAAAACGCATCTGTCTCAGCGCGAGCCAAAAATGCAAATGCTGATTTGAATTTAGCAGTTGGTGATGTGCCGCACTGAATCAAATATAAAAATTATTATTTCGCTATTTTTTGTCTTTTGGAAGCTGCATTCAGTCTCAAAAATCTGAGGGAGCACATGCCCTTTTGGTTTGAATGGGCATGATGCCTCTGCTCTCTGTGGGGCAAAACTCTTGGTACAAATTTATTTTTTGTTAAAAATCTAATAACATGAAAACTCTGGATATTTTTCATACTTGGTTTATAATTTATGTCATTGTCACTAAAACTATGATATCTGACACATTTAACTTTTGTTTCACAGAAACAAAAATTAAACAGTCCTTAAGGGGGTCGTCTTCCCCCACCCTTCCTTATTTCTAGCAGCTAGGGTGCAGCATGAGCGTGAGAAACTGGTCATAGAAACGACGCGATATGACACTCGTGCTTAGGCTTTTTTTCTTTTAGGTTTTCAACATAATCAACGTGTCAAAAAAGTTTTTCTTAAAAACTTAATAAATATGAAAAGAAATAATACAAATTTATTGTATCAATTATTTAAACCTGATTATTGTGTATTACATCATGTTATCGTGACGGCATCCTGTGAGAGATGCTGTAATCACAGCTGTCTGTCATGACAGCAGGGTGGAGATTAACAGGCTTTTTAAAACTATTCTTCGATCGATTCTTGAGCTTTGGCCAACAGAGTGAGATGCTCGAAACCTCCATCAAGCCACATCATGTTTGACTGATCTTTCCCACCGGATAACAACAACTGCTATCTGCAGAAATGTGCTGATCTAAACTTCTGTTGCTCTTGAACTCCAGAAGGTAAGCTTCGTTTTAGTTATGTGGCGATATCTTTGTTTAACAGTAGCTAAAACTATTATTGCTGTCATTAGAACCGAGCAGTTACCTCTGTGCAAATGTCACAAATTCAGGTTTAGGCCATTTTTATTGAGTAACTATTTTAACTTCTTTGACAAATGTCAAATAAAATTTTATGCTGTCAGTTTGTGAATTGTGGTGAATTATGCTTACCCTTGTTTATTTTATTGATAGATTAACTATCTTTCAATGTGCAGCATTTTCAAATAGTATTTTGTGGAGATTCATAATTATATATTTATATTATATGTTTATGTAGATTTAAATTACAAAATTACGATATTAAAATGTATGAATGGGTAAAAGGTCCATACTTTCTGGTTGTCTTACTTGGAAACAGACAGTCATATTATAGCAGACAACAGTGTATTGATCTCCTCAGAACAAAAGACAAATCAAGTGTTTATGTAATGTGTTCCATCCACCTATATAAACCTTGTTTTATAATTCCACCTGAACAAAATAAATAAGCACAAGCTTATCTTAACAAGTTACAAAATAATGAAAAAGATATTCAAATAAGATATAACTGTATCTGGCATGAAGCCCCTTCATGATGTGTATTTTTATTATCAATTATCACCTTGCATGTCATCATGCAATTTAGAGAGTGTTGAATAGCACATGAATTTTGTGTTATGTTTTATGTTTTGCATTTCAGTTTTAACCTGTTCATTGTTTAATAATACAATAAAGTACAAATAATGTTTATTTTTATTGTCCTGCAGTGTGACACTTTTAATTTAGTTGATTCCAAAACTTGTTTCTGTTAGTGTATTGGATCTATTTAGATAATATAAATAAATAACATTAATGGAATTGAAGGTCAAATGCGGCTCGTTCGCTGTATAAACTGTCCTCTCATTTTAAACTGTGCTGACACTAAACTTCATCTAAAACGTTTTGAAACAGCATTTTTCTTCCCTCAAATTTTTATATAAATACTGTGGGTGCTGTTTTAATGACCTCATGTTTATTGACAAATTACCTGTATATGGAACATTTGTACTTTTAAAAGTGTATTTGTCCATGTTCATATGTCAACTATATATTCATCTAATAGTCATTATATATTATATATTTGGTATTATATATGTGGTGTATAATTCTCTGACTGAATATGCAGCTCTAATCTGACTGTGTTTCTGCATAGCTCTGTCAGGTCATGTCAGAAGTTACATCACTCTTGATATTAAAGTCGGCCAAAGGAGGAATGACCTTACATGCATGGAAATATTTCTCTTGATCTTGACAGTTAATCTTTAAAACCCTGTAATGTCACAGTTCGTAAATAATAATTTTCTTTGTGCAAACTGAACAGGTTGGCCTCATATTCCCCAGGCTTATTTCTTCAGATCTCTTACTTTGTCTGTGTGTTATTTCTACAGCCCTGCTTTGCCGATGAGGACCACTTAATCCACGGAAGAGGAGAGATCCACGTAGCCTCAGCGAAAACATTGTTTCTTTGGAGTGGCCATCTCAATGCTTGCTTGATGCCAAGGAATTACAGATTTTTTTGTGTGGTGGTACATGTGAGAGGTCGAAAGTGTTTCTCCAACGCGTCCTCCAAAAACTCAGACTGTTTTCCAAAGCAGACGAGTCTCAACCACCTCCTACGGCGGTGATGGGAAGTGTGAGAACACACAGGTACGGCATAGTTTCCTCTGAGGAAGGCGGTATGAAGCTGTCCCCTATTGCCATGCAAAATGGCTACGGCAATGGAAATGTGGGTGGCAAAGTGCACATGCAGCAGCAAGCACAAACCCGCTTCGTCAACAAGGACGGACACTGCAACGTGCAGTTCATCAATATGAGCGAAAAAGGTCAGCGCTACCTGGCTGATATCTTCACGACATGCGTTGACATCCGTTGGCGTTGGATGATGGTCCTCTTCTGCCTCTCCTTCCTATTGTCCTGGCTTCTTTTCGGACTTATATTCTGGCTCATTGCACTTTCGTCTGGGTACTCGGAGAATCAAGAGCAGATATGCATTTCGAACGTTGACAGCTTCACGGCAGCATTCCTGTTTTCCGTGGAGACACAAACAACTATTGGTTATGGCTACCGATATGTAACAGAGGACTGCCCCTTTGCTGTCTTCATGGTGGTTTTCCAGAGCATCTTGGGATGCATCATTGATGCCTTCATCATTGGTGCGGTCATGGCTAAGATGGCCAAGCCTAAGAAAAGAAACGAAACCCTTGTGTTCAGTCACTATGCCACAGTAGCTATGAGAGATGGTAAACTTTGTCTAATGTGGAGGGTCGGGAATCTCCGGAAAAGCCACCTGGTGGAAGCTCATGTTCACGCCCAGCTGCTCAAATCCCGCACCACCGCTGAAGGCGAGTTTATTCCGCTGGATCAGATAGACATTGATGTCGGATTCGACACTGGTATTGACCGCATATTTTTAGTGTCCCCCATCACCATCGTGCATGAGATTGATGAGGACAGTCCTTTCTATGATATGAGCAAACAGGAACTGGAAAGTTCGGGGCTGGAGATAGTGGTGATATTGGAGGGCATGGTGGAAGCTACGGCTATGACCACTCAGTGTCGCAGCTCTTACGTGACGAGCGAAATCCTGTGGGGCCATCGCTTTGAGCCGGTCCTTTTCGAGGAGAAAAACCATTACAAGGTGGACTACTCACGCTTCGAGAACACCTACGAGGTTCTCAGCACACCTCAATGCAGCGCTCGAAATTTGGCCGAAAAGAAGTACATCAGGTCTAGCTCCAACTCTTTTTGTTACGAGAATGAAGTAGCATTCATTGATAAAGAGGAAACGGAGGATGACGACGATGATGATGACGAAGACCAGAAGAACATCAGAAGGGACAGCGTGGTCTTGGAAGGATCTAATATTGATGATGTCAAAACCACAGCTTCCAGTCAGGTTTCTTTACCACTACAATTCAAACCTTTAAGACAACAGCCTGAGTTATGACCGATTTAAGAAATATGCATTGTATATGCTGACTATATGGTGTGTAGCATAAAAGGCTGTTTTGCTGCTATTTTGAAAGCAAAATGTTGCCAGGAACCCAAAAGTCTGGGTTGCAGATGTGTTGTAACTTTCACTTAGGCTTGTTATCTAAGAAGACAGATCAACAAGCATTAACTTTCAAATCAACCCTGACAGTCCATACGCAATCAATTTGTAATATAGACAAGAGCAGCACATATTGTAGATAATATAAGCTCAGTTATAAGCTCCAAGCCAAGGAACAGAGAAATACATTATATAACTTTTGCACAAATCTTCGCCTGATTTTTGGGCAGTCAGACTTGTCCCCAAAAAAAAAAAAATGGCATAATGTATTATGGTCACAGATTTTTTCTTTTATTTTTTTGCTTCAAATTTTGATGCCATCCAGTTGGAGAATACCAAACATGTTTGATATTTTGATCTAATTTTAGAACGCTTATTGTTTTATTTGTTACACATCAGTGCTAACAGTCTATTTTACTTGGGTAGAGCTAGTTTCCTGTCCACCATCTTGGATGCATTTTTTATTTCACTGAGCTTGTCACAATGCATTCTGGGATTGCTTTCTTCATTAAGGATACATTTGGCCAAAATAAGGTAGGCTACCTTAGGAAGTAGCATAATGCTGTTACCTACCTACTTTGGGAACAGGTTTCACAACTGAAGCCAGTCTATGATGCTGTCTAGGTATGTAGCTTACTAAGTTTTGGAGCAGAGGGTGTCCAAACTCAGTCCTGGAGGGCCACTGTCCTGCAGAGTTTAGCTCCAATTGGGGTCTAATTGGGGTTGGAGCTAAACTCTACAGGACAGTGGCCCTCCAGGAGCAGGATTGGACACCCCTGATTTAACAAGTCACAATGATTTTGCAGGACAGATGGTTTTGTTGGATTGTCCCCGCACACAGGCTTTTACTGTAATAGCACATTCAGGATAATACCTTGTGCAAAAGCTAGTGATAAAATTATGTTTGTCTTCAAAAGCAGAGGCGGTGTAATGAAGGCTGTAGTGAAAATGAAAACCAAATGTTTCCTTTTGATCTGGTCAATGCCATTAAATCTACAATAGAGGGACATTTTGAACATTTGAAACTCGTTGCAGTTATGTCATGATTTAAGATAAATGAGGTTAGAAACCTAGCCTCCATATTTCACATGTGGTTGTGACTGAAAACAGGTTTTTTTATGGTGGCAGGATATGCCTATATGGATCACAAATGGTTTAAAAACCTGTTAATGAGCTGGTCTCTTAACAATGTTGTATTTCTCTCCTCTTTCTACAAATGCAATTCTGTACAAAAGATAATTATGTTGATATACAGTGCATAATTGATTGTGTTGGTTATAATGTGTTATAATATCAGTATTGAAGATTAGCCATACATTTTTTATGAGAGTAATGCTAATCTAGGGCAATTATTGTTTTCATGTAGTGAATGTACCATAAAACTCCTCAGTCCATGTACATCTTCTGTGATCTTGTCAAAAATGCACTTAACATCTCAGGGGTTGGATGAAATCTGGCATTCGTTCAACACGAGCGGTCGAAGAGTTGTAAATATATACACTACAGCAAATCTGAATAATATGTAAAGAATGTCGTGTTCATAGCAGTAAATGTGCTTTCGATGTGCAATAGAGCTTTAGTGACTAAAGACATGAAAGTTAATGATTATGAAAGAAGACATGAATGTTATTTATCTGCTGCTGAAAGATAAATATGTTGATAAAAGGTATACTATTTTGTTTTATATGACAATGTGTTACAACCAAAGCAATAATGACTTGCATTGCTGGCAGGTTTTAAAAACCAGAAAAAGTAGGGAACCAATATCTAATAAAAGGTTTTTATATATAAAATTGTGACAGTAGCTATCACAATAAAACTTAACAGTGATTGAAAATATCATCTGCAGTGTGCTTTAAAAAATAATTTATAGCTCGCCTTGGTTTGTATTAATTTCAAGGTGGACACAGTCCATTTTAAAATGTTTGTTTGACATCATAACATATTTTGTCATTTTATTTAGGTCTGCAACATATTTGTATATTTCATTGAGATAATTGTATTTCAATCACATCATAAATTATGTAATCCTAACAGATAACATTCCAAAGTATGACATCATACATCTATTTGACATATTCAACACGTACTGTACATTTAAAGAGACAATTCGTTCATTTTTAGACTGTAAATTGTTGTCACTGAGATCATCCAGACAAAGATTGTCTGGCTGGACTAATTTAAATCCATGACCCTAGTTTGTGTAAACAGAGTATCGATTGGACACAGGAGATCCAATGAGAGGATTGGATTTTGTTCTGCTGAAAGTCTGATTTCACCCTGAGGGAATTTTCCACATTATCCAATGACATGTCCTCTTTACTAGAGAGTGGGGCAGCTGAATTACTTCATTGGCCATCAGATGCCTAATGAACAATCAAAAAGTAAATAGATAAATAAAAATGAAATACGATAGATAGTGTTGTGGCAAAAACAATTATTAACAAATAGCATCACAGTGTAAGAGACAAGGAATCAAATTATATTTAAGGAAAGAAGTTTATTTTCCTTAAAGAGGTATGTTCACAATGTTTCAGCAGCTACCCTGAAACACAACAGACCTAAAATCACACTGAAAACAGACAGCCTTATATACTGTTATCACCCCCCACTTCTTACAAGGTTCCTTCTCTGTAAATTTCCACTTAACCCCGTAAACCAAACCTAGCTGTTTTCAGAAAAAACAATGGTCCTTCTAACCCCCTGGGCTTTTATTATCTTCACATCTGTGAGGTCAACAACCCCTCTGTTCAAAGGCTCTTTCTGATCATTTGTTTTTACTGTGTGTTTGTGTGCCTTCACACCCGTGAGGTCAAAGGTCTTTATTTATGACTAACCCCTCTGTTTTACTGTGTGATGTCTTTGTTGCATTCTAGGTGACATATATATACATATTGAGAGAGGAACACAAGTTAAATCAAAAGGAAAAATAAAAAAAATAAATATAAAACCCCACACAATGTCTAAGAAAGTAAATAAGAAAGAGTAAAACATTAATTTTCCTACAACAATAGATAGATAGATAGATAGATAGATAGATAGTCTGGGAGAAAAGTTACTCTCACCTTTAAAACAAGTTCATATCCTTCATAATCTGAGCTACAAGATAAAGTACACGAGGAAATATGAACCAGCTGTTGCAGTGAGAGTTATTAACGGAGCAGTGTCAGTTCAGGTGTGGTCAGTTTAATCTCTAATGGTATTCTTGATGAATGAAGTCTGTGAGATTAGGATTATCCCTCTATCATGTTCTGCAGGGGAATCTATGACGCACAGTTTCACAGGGCAGTGAAGTAGAGTCAATGGGTTTTAGTTCAAGCCTAGTGAGTTTAAGAATTTGCATCAATATGTTTCTCACTCTTGAATTTGAATCAATCAGGTATCTGATTTTTGTTTGCAGTGAGTGCGCAAACAAAAAAGTTGAGTGTGTTAAGTGACATCCCAGCAAACATACCCGTGTGGACCCACTGTGGGTTTTCTGTGGGACAGTGTGGGCAGAGCAAACCCACACTAAAACCATGTGGGTTAGCCCACGTGGGGCCCACAGCAGTTTTGCTCTTTGGGGGCCCTATGTGGGTTTTCTGTGGGCAAGCCCACTGCGGGTTATAATGTTTGTTTGTTTTGTTTTTTAATGATTTTCTTTTTTTTTATCTACATGCAAATATTGCATTAAAATTAGATTTCTGTGGCAATGATAGTAAAATATAAACAATAAATTGTCCACAAAAATGTAATATATTCAACAGTTCATCCAACACTTAACTAAAACGGCACATGGTCAACAAGAAAACCACTTGGTTTGTAGCTGCTTGCAGACAAAGTCAGACAGATTATTTTACCATATTACAGTAGTTCAAACCCCAATTAGACCTCATCAAAACACTCAATAAACACCACAGACTTAAACTACTTCAGTCTGTGTGCATTGAATTTATTTAATACACGAGTTTCACAATTTGAGTTGAATTACTGAAATAAATGAACTTTTCCACGACATTCTAATTTATTGAGATGCACCTGTATATATATATATATATATAATAGTATACATTGTTTTTGTTGTAATATTCATATTTGTATATAAATACATTGTAGGCTATTATTAAATAAAATGTACAGATCATTGACTGATTTGTTAATTCATTCATTGTTAGTATTTATTAGTGATGTAAAAATGTATTAAATATTTCTGCAAGGAAAAAAGGAAAAAGTAATATTAAATATTCTAATACATTAAATGGCGTGTCAGCTCTTCAGCACGTGATTAATTCTAGCCAATGAGACTGCAGAAACTCTGCATCGTTAATGAGCTGTCATTCCGACTTCAACTAGTACCGCCCAGCTCTGCTCAACCAGGTAAGCCTTTCAGATTTCTTAGTTAATTTCTGAGTTTTTTATTAAAATTTGTCAAATTCATCAAAATAGTTGTGAATTAATTAATGGGAATTAAATTACACCCATTTTAGTGGTTATCCAGCAGGCACACAACGTCATAAGACGTTGATATTTGGTTAAATTTCGGTTGTGACTTCGGGTGACCAAAATTCAATGTAAATTCAACGTCTAATGTCAATGTTAAATTGATGTCCAATACCGACGTCAGTTGACGTTGATATTTTGTTGTTGTTAGGTTGTGTAACCAAAATCCAATGTTAAGTCAACGTCAAATTGACGTCAAATATTGACGTCAACCCAATTTTCATTTTCAACCAAAATGCAACGTCTGTCTGACGTCATGTCCAAAGTCAACCTGACGTTACATAGACGTCCGGTGCCTGCTGGGTAATTTAATTATGAGTGTTGTTCCTGGTTTAAACGACAAACGGTTAACGGCCAACTACCGCCTTCAGATCGCTTTCCGAGGTAATCTCTGAGGTAATATATCCTTTAAAATTGCATATGAATTCGCTAAATTGAATTATTTTACGTTAATTTATTTTACGTCCATTTTGGTGTTAATTTGGTTTATTGTTGTTTTTCCGTTGCTGTTTGCTCCATGAATTAATAACAGCCGAGCAAAGCATAATGGAGCTAAGTCCGTAATGTCTTTGTTTTAAATTCTTAAATAGCAACGTGAACGAGGATTTATATAGCATAATACAATACCTCGGCTACACATGCTTATTAAATCTTGTTAACATATTATCATTAATGTATGGCCGTTCATAGACATCGGTAAACTCTGCGCACTGACGGGTAGGACGTCTTCGCAAACTATAGCCTATATACATTTGCTAAAAAATTATTACAAAGATTCTCTTTACTGTATAGTTAATCAGCACGTTCATTCATACAGACCTATGCAATGTTTGACTGATAATTTTTTTTTCTCCCTTTTCCATTCTCAGATTTTATTATACATATTGTTAAATAAAAAATTTTTTTACCATTAATGCAATGTTTGTCTTCTCTCTCTTTTCAGTTTTGATTGCCATCTAGTCCTGATTGCAGAGTTTAGCTCCAGCCCCAATTATGTACAGCTGAACAAGCTGATCACGGTCTTCAGGATTACCACAAACTTCCATTCAAGTGTGTGGTCAGGTTGGAGCTAAACTCTGCATGATGTTGGTCCTCCAGGACCAGGACCAGGACCAGAACTGGACACCACTGTAGCAGCCTAGCAGGCATCCTGCATCTCTTTGCAAAGTTGAGAAACACTGACATATTGATTAGTCAAAATAAATTATTTTTCATTTGTATTGATATATGCAATATTTCGCTGATATTCGTTGATTTTTCCTCTTTTTCTCCCTTTGGCTTGTCAACTGCAGATAAATAAAGAGCCACCAGGCACAGGTCGCTGCATCTTTTGTCATGTAAGTACATTTAAATTTATTTAAAGCTGCATATACATACATGCATGAAGTTACTTTTACTTTTACTTTTAGTCATTTAGCAGACGCCGTTTTATTTTGTGAAAACTTACTACGTATATGGAATAACCGTTTTATAAAAGCAATAAGCCCCGTGAAGCCATGGTTTACAGTGAATTTATAACAGCTAAGGGGCGTTGTTAGGCACAATGTGAAGCAGAGGCTTATTGCTTTATTAAATTGAAGAAAAAAAACGGAATTTGGAAAAAAATAAAACTGATTTCATAGGGTCCTACTAGTCATTCATATTCACAGTGAAAAAGACTTTAAATTGAAAATGTATTTTTACAGAAAGATTTATCAACATGATGTATGTCAATTTTGTTTTCTATTTGACCAATAAATGTAACAGCTTTTAGGACACACATAAACCCATCTTGAGTCCTGCTAGTAGTAAAATTAATTTGCTTTCTCCTTTTATCTTGGTTTGGAAAGGTGTAGTGTGCCAATAAATATTTCAGGTTAACTGGTATTCATTTCACACTCTTTGTGAAGTTTTGCATTTTGTGATTTGCTGCTCATTTTTGTTTTGCTCCTAGTGCGACTAGGGCGTAGGTCAGTTAAATCTACAGCTTTTCCGATTACTTACTAATTACTTACTAATTACTTACTTACTAACTTTTTCTAAGTTAAAGTCATTAGAAATTTCTTTAAAGGATCGTTCTTTCAAAAATGAAAGTTCTGTCATCAAAACAATTTCTATTCTAACCCTTTAACCCAATTTTGCTTCTCTGCTTGCGATCAGGTCATTTTAAGCCGCTAAACTCCGAGAAAGTTTTCAGTCCAATGATCCAGTAAGCGAATGCATTCAAACAATCAGTCTAAAACATAAAGGAAACCAGGCTGATTACATCAGAGACTGCAGAGAGAATAGAGACTCTTTTCACTGAGTTATTCATTCCAGTGTGTTTCAGTGTCGGCTGAAGGTGTTTAGTTATTATGAATGGATCCGTGTACTGTAGTAGATGTATGCAGTCAGCAGGCGGTTGGTTTAGGAGTTTTTGGCATCTCCATGTGGTCCTGTTTGGTATCGCAACTTGACTTCTCTAAAATATAAAAAAAGCTCTTTGCTGTTGCACTGTACACATACTTTCAATTTTTTTTTTAGCATTTTTTTCTTTCATATATGCTTATATGGGCTCCTTATATAATTTGGTTCTTTGGTGTCCTTTTTTGGAAAGACATCAAAAGATTGAAGGGTGATTCTCAAAAATCTGTATTTTCTGCAGAAAAAGGGTGTGATTCATTTGATTAAAAATTTTAATCTATTGACATATATATATATATATATATAGTAAATTTAGATGATACAAGGACACATACGGAAATTAACTTTATTAAGATTAAAATATGTCAAATCACAAGATGAAGAGGAGGGTTTCTTTTCCAGAGACTGTATTATTGTCTCTGTTGGTATCTCCACATGCAGTAACACATTCCCTCCAACACTGATTACATAAAGCTGTTTCCATTAATGACCTCTAACCACATTGAACCAAGTGTTGACTCTCACAATGCAGTTTCCCACAGACTTACACTCTTATGTGTGGTGGCACTTCCCCCGGGGGAAATATATAAAACTGCAAACGGGCTTATTGACAATGCAAATTCCTTTTCTGCCAGCAGGAGGCACTTTTGGAGCACAGAATTAGTGGTTTCCCCGGTAACGGCTGTAGCATAGCAGAGCTTGAGCTCACTAAATGAAAATGACATCGAACCTTTTCTGAAGACAGTCAGTTCTCTTCAAAGATACATTCATATAAAACACCTGTGTGTTGACTTTGAAACGTGCAGAGCTCATGCTTATACAACGAAGTCAAAGCCTTTTGGAAAATCTATTTGTGGCGGTCAGTTTTGATATTGTGGTGGGCTGCCACAAATAAATCAATGTATGGGAAACACAGAAATGCTAAAACTATATCTAAAGTACGCGGCATGGACATTTTGTGTATGGAAAGAATACCTGGTTTACCTAATACATTTGTCAAATTTTGTATTATTCAACAGAGCGCTCTGTGTGTAATGTATCCCACAATGCAATGCACTTGACTCAACCGGTGTGATGCATGATTTTAAACATCTCTTTCTTGACTTTCTAATTGATCAGATTAAAAGTTATGACATTACACTAATTTGGATAAATAAATAAATACATGTTTTTAAATGTTTATCCCTGCATTTTACACTGTGCTGTTTGACTTTTTCTCTAGTCTGTAGTATACGGTGTATATACGCTGCAGTAAGCTAGTATTCTGTTCCAAACATACTGTAGCCTGAGCATCATGTTTCTTTTCCCAACATGCACCTGCCCAGCATCCATAATCACTCCAGCAGCTGCTTCTAAATGCTGCGTTTGCACTGCTGTGCTCCAGTTGACTTTCTAATAGTTATCTTCTGATAGCTTTACTCCAGCTAAATGGCATCATGAAACCTGTCAACACGAGAGTCAGCGTCTGCATACCAGCAGCCAGCCTATAAACCACTCTCTCAATTCTAATAGTTCAATGGCTCAATACAATAGCATGTACCACTTTTTGACCACCAGAGGGCAATGAGAGAACAGATGCAGTTTTCGACTCTCGTTGGTTTCAGTTTCTTGTGATTCAAAGTGTAGAAAGGAATGAACCTGAAAAGTCTGATGTATTTAAGTGACACTGAAGCGGAGATTTCTGGCTCAGACACCGATAGATAAAGTGTAATTATAATAATAAAGTGTAAAAGAGTTTTCTTTCCATTAGTCTGCGAGGAGACCATTTATGGAAGCAAAATGCAAAAATCTCAGAATTGACCAATGCCTAAAAAAACAGAATAGAAAATAAATATTAACGTTTTCCCAAATATATATATATATATTATATAAGCAGAACCAATGCATAAAATATAACCTTAGTCTTGGTAATGAATAGACACAATAATTTGTGGGTTCATAAATTGTGATTTTAATTAAACTTAACATGAATTGCAATATAACACAAGTGAGCAAAAAATCAATTCAGAATTTTTTTTTTCTTTCTTTTTATGAAAGCACTCAGCATGCTCACCATACAACTTAAGGGATGACAATTTGAAGTCAAACATGGCAATATTACAAATGTGACTATGGTGATTTCCAAGTACTAATAAATTAGGGTGAGCTTTCATGCATCATGGTAAAAATAGGTTACTGAAGTAACCATTCACAACCCATTTTACCTCTGTAATCTCCTATTTCCAAGTGAAACAGGATATAAAATGAGAAAGAGTAGGATGGACTTTGATTTTATCCATTGGGAATTGACTGAATGGTGAAAAATGGGTGTTGCACACCAGAATGCAACAGGAAAATCTATGAATTCAAATAAAATCTGAGTCCATATGAGTGTAAAATCAAAATGTAAATCTGTACCTTGAATGCAACTTAAGTTGCTTTGAATAAAAGCATCTGCCAAATCCATAAATGTAAATATATTTGGACATGTAAATCTTGCTTTCAAAGCTATAGGGCATCAGAAATCATTGGTAGAGGAACAAGACTCTTACTTTTTCGCTACTATGAGGCTGTGATAGAGGGGCTTCACAATAATGTGCAGGTAAAGCGAGCTGTCAATGAGGTACTCGGATGCTCTACGCTGCAGGTCTGCTTCCAACAGGAAGTCTCCCGCCTCCTCCGTACTCTGGTGGAAGTTGTAGACATGACGGACCACCACCTTCCCCTGCTTCCGGGCTGAAACGATGACAGTCTTTTGAAAGCTGACGCCAGCAAAGTCTGGGCTCGAGGTGGCCGGTGTGACGATGATCCGTGGACGCCCTCCATCGGTACGAGTGGGCTGCAAGGATCCCTGCTCTGGATAAGCAGATCGCACGCTTAGAGGAAGCCAGCGGGGTGAGAAAAGAGCGTTCCAGGTCACGCGTTTGCTGGTGTCGTAGCCGCTCGGTCCAAGTTGAGTCTGAAAACTGAAGCTGCGGTCGTCCCGCGTTGGGTTGTTGATCACCCACGGGGAGCCCCATGCTTGCGACAGGTAGTTACGTGGCGTAAAGAGACTGCAGTTTACGTCAAAGTACTTTGCGAGCTGGATGGGTGAGGCTGCGTGGAACTGGAAGGCTAGGAAGAGCAGATCGCGTACCGATTCGTAATATTTCAACATCACAGACGACTTCTTCTGCAGGTGGAACAAGTGTTGAGGTGATATCATGGCGTAACGTATTGCTTTAAGTGCGCTCTTGGCCTTCTCAACTGAGGGCTGGTTCTGGTTGATCCAGGCTTCCAGAGCTTCGTACAGCTCCAGTTCACTCTGCAGAACCAGGTCTGAACGCTGCAGCAAAGTAAGCAGCAGTTCTTCGCTCACTGAGCTCCATTCGGCGCTCTGTAGAACCGATGACAGGTTCCAGGACAGGTACTGCAGGCAGCTGTTCTGCAGGGTCACATCCCCAATCTGCGTGGCGTATTGGTACCAGCTCACCATATGACCCGTGAGTGAGTCGCTGGACAGGTGCTGGGTCATGTATTGGGTGAGGCCCTGCCGGAGGTCCCACACGTGGTACTTGCTGGCGAGCTTGTGTAGAGGAATGGCCTGGTTCAGACGCACCGTGATGTCACCACAATATAAGTACCTGCAGGGAAAGGTCGGGTTGGAAAAAAATCAACCTTTGATTTCCCTGAAACTTTATCTCCATAGCCTGTGAAGAATGATAATGCTACACTAAATGGTGCACTAATAGTGTTTTTCTCTGTTCGTCATCAATTTATTTATCTGTCAAAATGCAAGGTCTAGTTGTAGGTTAAAACCTGGAGATATTCATGCATCACTATTGTGGCCTTGAGACTGTCCCTGTATTAACTGTACTTTGGTTGCAATAGTTTTAAATCTATACAATAGAAAATATATATAATAAAAAATGGGAAATATAAATAAAATTAATGTTTGGTTGAAGAGCTACAACATTGAATACTTTCCGTACCCACTGTATATATATATATATATACACAAAATTTAAATCTACAATATAAAATAAAAAAGTAAGTTTTCAGTTAAACATTTCTTGTTAACAATCTACAATATCAAATACAAACTGTAATAACAAATTAAATAAAGTTTTATTGACAATCTACAATATAAAATTAAAAATGTAAAAAATAAACCTATTTAGTAATACACCTTGCCTATTGTTTACGGGCCATTATCATTTTAAATGAATCTTTTGCTCCAGTACTTCAAAATACAACTCAAAAAGAGAAAGTGAATCTAACAAAATGAGATTATTACAAGCAATACATTACTGTCTACCAATTGTCAACTAAAAGGCAAAAAAGATTATGTCATAGACTTTTTCCTAGAAAACACAGTTGGTTGCTCCCAGTTAGTGGAGTGTTGTGGTTTACTGATTATAGATTTAGGCTGGTAACTGTAAGGTTGTAGTAGGTTCAAGGGTAATTAACTATCACCTCAATCCTAGGTTATTCCCTGGGGGTTGTGCTTATAATAAGTGTTCTATAAATCGCTTTAAATAAAAATGTTCTATATGACTAATTATTAATGAATCACTCACCTAATGAACTTGTCAAAGACAGCTGCACAGTCCGGTGACTCTCTGAGGACCATCGCAGTGGAGTTACGGGTCTGTAGGAGCTCATCAAACACGTCACTCTGTAGAGTCAACACCAGTGAATGGACCTGGATCACCTTCACCTCGTCCGTGTTTAACATCTGGACACGCAGGATCACATCGCTGCCGTTTCCCTGGGTCAGCAGGGCCTCCATGCGCTGCACCAGCGCCATTGAATGGTTCAGTGTGGTAGCACTGTTCTCCAACACCACATCCGACTTTAATGCAGCTGCAGGACAGAAACGGGAGGTTTGTGAGCAGAATGGATTAAGAAAGAGGGCTTTTTAATATCTCACAACTTCAGAAGAGTAACAAACATGTTTTATGCATTCAAAAAAACAAGAACAATGAGTATTATGAGTAGTTTAGATGTTCTTGCATGCATTTGCACTGCATATTTTATCAGTTATTGAATAATGTATGAACATAATCTTTCAAATAATTGTAGCCATTCTTGCTTGTATGCAGGGCCATCCTTAGCTGGGGGGGGGGTCCCCTTGGTCCGTTCGCGGCTGGGCCCGGTGCGACTGCACCAGTTGCACCCCCCTAAGGACGGACCTGCTTTTAGGTCATCTATGTAGTTGGAACCAGTGTTATGAATGCAAAACACACCCAAAAATTGTTCTTTCTGGCACTCGACTGCAAATTTTCCTTTTTCCAAGCAATCAGAGGCATATAAAATTAAGTGTTAGACAAATTATATTGCATTTTGGCTTCCAAAGGCACTTTAAGTGTGAAAGAGCCCAAGTTCAGGCTGAAAAAAGGAGGGAAACGTTTGAATACAAAATCACAAGCAAGATCGGAATGAAAGACTCCGACTGCCGCTCGCTGCTCTTCAAGTCATGTGACTCATTCACTCACACCTGACAGTTTGATCAGTTCACTCATTTGAAAGCTATTGCATTTCCTGTGAAGATGGTGACTTGTATTATAAAATGAACAGTGCAACATTGTCTATATAAACAAATACTTTAGATATTTAGATTTTTGTGTGAAATGAATCATGTTTGTAATCTTTATTAGATATATCATTGTGCTTTTGTGCAAATTATGCAACTACTGTATAGAAAATGACAAAATAAAGTCCTAATCTTTGCTCTGATCATATTACAGATGTCTAAATAAAAACGATTGGAAAAACCTCACAACAAACAAAAATATATGGCTATTCTAGCAACTACTAAAAAAATCTATGATCTTACCTCCTACACAAAGTGCAACACAAAGGCTGGCCAGACAGAGCACGGCAGGAACGCTTGCTCCGGAGTTCACCATCTCTCGTCCTGTATTAATGTCGTCCTTCCTTGCCTTTTTTTCACTCCAGTCTCTCTCTCTCTGTGTGTGCTGCCCAGTCTCCCTGTCCCACACTCTTTATGTAGGACGTTGGCCTCTTTATGTAGGACGTTGGCACATCCCTGAGCATTTCTCAGCCTCATGAAGCCCATTGATTGGTGGAATCCGGCTAGGCCGTTGCCATGACGACCGCTTTGATTGTGAGTTTCTCCTCTTTCAATGTTACATGATACCGATCTGTGGCACTGGGCCGCATGTTTGGACTGAAGTGGGCGTCTGGAGTGGGATGCGGTCTACACATGGGGGCTATTGCTACTGTTATTAGCTCAAATAAAGGAAAAGAATACACTGGAAGATAAATATCATTGCGCATTCTTGTACAATGTTGGATTCCTTATCTATTTAGTAACATCTTAAAACAAACGCATTCACAAATCACTGATTGTGTGAATAAATACCCAGTCTACAAAATATATCCACTCGAAAATTTAATGGGAAAGCATGAAAGGGAAATAAAATTTACAAAATTGTACTACAAACGAAAATAATGTAAAAAAAACAAAAATGTGTTGTGTGTGTATATATATATATATATATATATAGGCATTTATTCTCATCCTGCACCTTTTATGCTACAGAATGATACCTGAAACTGGCTTGATGAAAGCTGTGATATTACTTTTTAAAAGTAAGTGATCACTGATTGTCACTATATATATATAATTTATTAATAAAAATAAACTATATATAGTGACAATCAATGATCACTTGCTTTTAAAAAGTAATATCACAGCTTTCATCAAGCCACAGTTTCAGGTATCATTCTGTAGCATAAAAGGTGCAGGATGAGAATAAATGCCTAAATTTATATAATAACACCAGATAATTCTTTCATTTTCAAATATCAATATTTTACTTGAGTCATTTTGAGTATTAAGGGACCAAATGCATGTGAACTCACTGTGCATTATTTAAAAGTGTGAACTAATTTATTTGTTTGCCTTATACACAGTCCTGCTACATCCACTTGTAAATATTTTACCACAAAATCCATCAATATGGTATTGTTGGCCAGCAGAGGTAGCAAAATGTGTAGAAAAATGAAATATACACATAGATATAATACAATACTATATAATACAAATAGCAGTGCATCATGTGGAGGTCATGGCAGCCCTGTCCTGCTCTTGTTTGTCTCTCTGCTTCTGCTTCATCTGTCTGTACAGCTGCACCACTCTCTCCCGCTCTTCCTCCACAATCCTCTTCCTCGCCATAGAAGGTTTGATGAGCGACGCAGGACTGTGACCCAGGAGGGAGTTCAGGAGGAGGCCTTTGGTTGCCCCCTGGAGGAATGATCAGGATGATAGTAATGAACAAACAGAATTAATTCGCATCTCATAAAGGAGTGGATGCACTTAAAGAATTTACCTGGGGTTTGACTACGGCTTTCTTTGGTTTAACGCTCAGTGATGGAGGCGCCATGGCAACCTCTCCAAATGGTACCTCATCTAAGAGGAAGAGAAATGCTGGAATATGAATATGTTTTGCAATTTGATCCCGAATTGTACAGACTAAATCTAATAAAATTGATGCATGCCTTTGAACATCTCCTCCTCTTCATGTTCCTCTTGCTGGTTTAGCTTCTTTTTCTGTTGCTGAAGTTTCCTTTTATGGAGCCTAAAATAAAGACAAAGACACTTTAACACACTAGTGCAGCGTTAGAAATGAATACAGGCTTTATTTATAGAAAAACCTGCATAATTACTATATGCATTTGCACAAAAAAAATTGGCTACAATTAATCTGATTAGCTTTAAATCATGAACATCAATGCATGTCAAACCAGTGTTATTTTTGTATCATTGATATACTATTATAGTTTTTGTATTATATTTTATTTTTATTGTTGTGTGTTTAAATTTGTGTGTTTTTGTCATTTTATGTTATTAAATTTTTGTATTATTTATTGTATTTATTTTATTATGAGTTATTTTAGTACTTCGACAAACTAAACAAAAAGGAAAATTTTGCATTGGAAACTTGCTGAAATAAAAATATTATAAAATATAATATAATAACATTTATTATAAAAATGTAAAAAATAATAACAAAAAAAAATTCAAATTATTTGAAGAAACTTTTTTTATGGGTTTAGTTTTAGTTAACAGTAATAACCCTGTGTTGAACTAACCATTTCTTTTTAGTGGATTTCTTCTCCTCTGTGTCCTCTTCTTTCTTTAGCTTGACCTCCGGATGTCTCTCTACCTGGTTGTTCGTGAGAAAGAGGACATGCTCAGTCTCTTCGGTCATGCGGCGGACATAATTCTTCTCGGACTCCTTTCGCCCTCTGCGGAAGTGTGGGATAGGAATATCTCCTGAGAGCATCTTTGGCTTAGAGGCTAAAATAAGAAACATATATGAACATACAGCAAGAAGTCCCCTCCTCCGCTGCCCTTGCCACTAGCCGTGTCATTGTGCAGTTTCTGTGGGTCACTAGCTTGTCTGCAGACAAAACCCAGACAGCATGCGGCCCTCATGATCCACCCGTTTTCAAACTACTAAACTACATGCAATTGTTTCAACAGAATCCCAGTAAATCCACACTCCCCTCAACAATAAATGGGTACCAATTATGTGGGTTGACAAAAATAAATATCTTATGAAAGTGAAAGATCAGACTTTCAGTTTCAAAATAATCACTACTGGCCCTCCAGGAATTATGACAATAATTCATAATGACATATTATTGTTAACACATTCATTATCAATAACACCATTACCAATCGTCAAGGCTTGAGTCACACTTTTTAATAAATGACCTATATTTATTTATTTTTTAAAAGAGACTTTTTTTTGTTCAAAATTAACTTTTATAAGTCAACTGCAGGAATTAACTTGAATATAAATCGTTTTTTTATGTAAGTATGGGTCTGCTTTTATTGTGCGGTACAAACTGCAACACTTTTTAAATTGTGTACGACTGGTAGTACCTTTTTTCCTCTTTTGGGAGCCCTGTTTCATCTTCTCTTTACTCTTCATGATTTCACGCAAGCGATGAGGAATCTGCTGGAGGTGGTCATCTGATGCAGGGTCAGCATTTTTCTTTGAATTCTTTTTACTAACAAAAGACAAGACACTTTACAATTAGATATCAACTTCAATCAACTGAGTAAACAAAAGCAATGTCTGAGCAATGCTAAATAGTGCAACTGTGAAGCAACAAAATGGTTTTCTGGAACCTAGATTAAAAATAATAATAAATAAATAAATAAAAACTAACTTTTTTTGTAAGTGTATAAGAAAAACCCACCATTCATTTCTTTAAAAAAAAAAATAGAATGCAGGATGAACAACATTTAAGAACTATATATTCATGAGTCCCACAACCAAAATACATTTCCATGACTTTTACAGTCATTTCTGTCTATGAATACACTGTCTATGAAGATGGCATTTTCAGGTTTTCAAAACACATAGTGAATATTCCTATATCTTCCTGTGGAGTTTAGGCCTTGTAATAAGAAATGACCAATTCTGAAGGATGCAAGGCTATAAGCATCACATCTCTAGACATACCCTGCACTGACTTCACCATTTTCTGTCAATCCATATAACGTATTTTGGTTCAAATGAATTAGTCTAGCTTCTGGTTGTTAGTTTACTTCATCTTATTGATGTTTGTTTACCACTTGACGAGATTTCCAGACATATCCACAAACCTATCCGAAACACCCTTATTGAAGAAGTTTTAAGCCTCTGATTTACCTGAAATGCTTCTCATTCTTCTGTTGTTGGAGCTGTTTTTCTGTTTTCATTGTGTACTTTTCAGTAAATAACGCTTCCTCCAGTGGACAGTAAACTCACGTGGCGTGTTTCTTCTGCTCGTCTTCCTCTACGCCGCGGAGATCAGCAGCACATCAGCGCGCTACTGCCGCTCACTGGCTGAGGAAGGAACTCGCACCGTCCGCGCGGGCTCTTCTTCTTCTTCTTCTTCTTGGTGTTTAATGGCGGATGGCATACCACTTTTAGGTGCATTACCGCCACCTACTGATTAGGAGTGTGGATCAGGACCGTAATCTTCACTCAATTCTATTATATAATCCCGTGTCCTTTAAATAACGCATAAAAAATTGAACGTTTTTATCCCCTGATTTATTCCCCACAATTTTCATCAAATTAAGTTTTTCTTTATTTTCCTTGAGGACATCAATCAGTATCTTTCTTTCCTTTCCGTATCTTGGACACTTCATTACATGCTCTACATTTTCCTCCATATTACAATATTCACATTTTCCAGTTTCATGTCTCCCCATTCTCTTCAAACTGCTATTAAGAGCAGTATGACCGAATCTAAGCCTTGAGATTATAGTTTCCTCACGTCTATTTCTTCCTGTTACTCTGTACTTACCAACAGTTCTTTGAATGCTATAAAGACATGACTTCTTCTTCTTCTTCTTCTTCCTCTATTTTAATGGAGGGCTGATGTCTTGAGCACATGCTGCCACCTACTGCTCAGTGTAATTTCATAGTTTAAAGCAGGGGCTAGAAGCGACCACAACATTCTTTTGAATAGACTAGAAAATTATGTTGGCATTAGAGGAAGTGCATTGGTATGGTTCAAATCGTACTTATCTGACCGCCATCAATTCATAGCACTGAATGAAGAGGTATCATACCAATCACAAGTGCAGTATGGAGTACCTCAAGGCTCAGTACTAGGAACGATACTTTTCACGCTTTACATGTTACCCTTGGGAGACATTATTAGGAAACATGGTGTTAGCTTTCACTGTTATGCTGATGATACTCAGCTCTATACTTCTTTGCAGCCCGATGAAACATAGCAATTTGCAAAACTAACGGAATGATATGAAGAGTTTGGTTCCAAAACGCTATAAATCCATTTAGATTAATTTGAGTAAAAATGTGTTTTCTTTACCAAGAAAGTGGCAAGATGAAAACCACTATTTTCTGTTTCAAACTTTCACATAGCATCTTTAGGTTATAATAACATTAAAAATTCAAATCCAGATTTTGATTTTCAAAGATTTATTATAAAATTGTATTATTTTTT